ATTAGCATTATCGAGTCTATTATAGTTTCTTCTATTCGTTAATTTACAGTGTAAGATTTTACTTTTCCCCTTCCTATTCGGTACTACCTATAAGACTTTGAAAAACAACTAATAAAATGTGTATTTTCCAAAAGATATTAACTTTAGAGTGAAGTTAAGAGGCGCAATTATAATTGGGGGGTCCTCCCAATCTCCTCAATCTCTGATTCCTAAACAATCCTCAAATTTCTAATCCCCAAAAGGCCGAAAACGCATTAGTAGACGCCTCTGGTGTCCGGGTATTTATGAGCGACGCCGATTGCTTATCATCAATTGAGCCGTCTGCTCGTATTCCGTCTTATTTCATAAAAAAAACTCTCTCTTTAACACTCTAAACATTATCACGTCACGTCATTACTTGCAAGCGTGTGTAGTATGTGAACAAACCACAGCTACCTGTGTGATCTAAAGGCCGGTATCTAAGTGACACTTGATGGCTCAAAGCCATTCTGAAGTAGCCATTGATTAATGTTCATGTACTAATTAACTAAAAAATAACACATTAATGGATTTGTTATCTAAATCACACCTTAGAATACTTTCTAAGGGTCTTTACTAAAAGCACAAATAGACGATTGAACCGAACCGTCACTTTTGTCCGCTCTGAGGGCTTAGTACGAGTTTAATAGTTTAAAATATTCCAAACGAGTATGCGTTCGGCACTCTGATTGGCCGGCACCAATGAACCAACCAATCACAGCGCCGAACGCGCATTCGTAACGATTACTTTAAACGTAAAACACACTCGTACTAAGGCCTCTGGAACATATTGGATAGTGTGTACAGCGGTCTGTCGCACATTGTCAATGGATATTACGTATTACCGGACCGCCGAAGAAAATTGACGGTGCTGTTAGATTTTGATATGTTAAGTTCTCTCCAAGAAAACACTGCAGTTCGAAGAACAAAATTACTTTTAACTAAAATCGCAGGTTACTCACGCGGTCGCGGCGACGTCGCACAGTGACCTGCGCGACGTCAGTCTATCAGAATCAGGGTCGGGCAAAGTAACTAAGTGACTTTAGTTTTTGATAATAACCCTATTAACGACTAATTTTTATTTTAATGTCCGTCTGGTAGATTATTTAAAAACATTAGACACGTATTTTTTTTAAGGAAACGAATAGTTTCGATGATATATTGATTTGAAATGTCGCGTGACGTCACTTCTATGCACATTTTAAACGTAAAAATGACATTTTAGCTCCCACTTCTAAACTTTGATTCGTTATATCTAAGAACATATCATTTTATTATACAACAAAATAAAAAAATACGTGTCTAATATTTTTTCATTACCTAACTGACGGACTAATTAGATTTTTAATTTTCATACCCTGTCATCATCCTTATTGTCGAAGTAGCTTGGAATTGGCACAACTAAAATTCACATTTGAAATAAAGAAAACAATGCAACGCATGAAAAATATACCTTCTTAGTTAAATTTTAAAGTAGAAAATGACTATTAAAACATAGTTACAAATGACATACCTATTAAAGATTTCAATAAATCGACAATAAACTATTTAACGACTTGACTATAAATAACAGTAACGTACCTATGTCTCAACGGCTCGTTTTGGAAAACAATGTGTTTTGTTTCGGCAATAAAAATTATTACTGTAACATTTTATATGCTATAAAATTTATGAATTGACTGAAGGATTTGTTTTAGTATTGTCGGCATTTTAGCCTTGCAGTCTGGTTAGGAGTTAAATTACCTACTTACATCATAATATCTAGATATACAGTCTTCTGTACTTGGCAGTCACGTAACTAAATGTCTGCAAAATGCCAAGGACTCGAAGCCGGTTAGCCCCTAATTCAGAGATTCTCATCTAAACTATTCTTTTTTCATATTTATGATATACTAGCTTTTGCCCACGGCTTCTCTCGCGTCATAAAAGGATAAAAAGTAGCCTATATAACATAATTACCAATACACACAGCGCCATCTATACCTACCAATAATTTCGTTTTCCCTCGAGAATATCAAATTTTTCCGGGATAAAAAGAGTCCTATTATTTAATTCAGACTTTTAACCGTACATCTGCACAAATTCAAAGCAATCGGTTTAGTAGTTGCGGCGTGAAAGCGGAACAAACAAACAAATAAAATCACTTTCCGATTTATAATATTAGTAAGGATTGTGATTTCTTTGTATTCAATACCACATTTTGTTAAATAATAGATATACTTTTCCTTTGTTTTTGGGAAAGAAAAATTATTCTTATTCTTATATTGGGAAGCGGGGCTTAGTCAGTGAATTTGCTACGAACCCCGATGTTACGTCACTGAGAAGACGCATCAGTAGGTACCGAACTTTTCTCCAGTTATTGTTGTAAGACAAAATAATATGAATGGGAGGAAGCTGAAGAAGAGAGAGAACTTTCAAGAAAATCTTTTACGAACACGAGAATAGAACCCGCCCCTCTGATTGGTAGCACAAAAGCCATTCAAATAAAGTAGGTAATATCGGTACTTATTTATATGCATTAGTACTTAAATTGATTAATTTTATTGGTATGATTAGGTAATTATTAAAAGTTAAACTTTATTTATTTCACCTTAAACAAGCTGATAAATACAAATGCATACTGAAACTACCCAAATCTGTCTTCAGTCTAGACTTTAAAGTAAATATTTATAAAAAAAACAAAGATGTATCGATGTATGTAACAAATTATCAAAGCTCACACAACCAAAAATGGTATCGCCCATAAAGGGGACAGATAAATAATGACGTCATAAAAACAGGCGAGCCTATTTTTTAAAACAAGAACACGATTCATTAATTTACCACAAACAAGGATTGACATTAGATAAAAGTACCTATACAATGATGTTCTTTCATTTTAAATTTAGAATATCATTTGTTTTTATTTTAACTGATTTAATATCAGTTGTGATGCGACAGTTAAGATTCCTAAGTTGTATGAATGTTTGTTATTCAATAACGTTTTCATTCCTGATTGGATCTGGATGAAATTTTAGTAACTATGGATTTTGTAGTTTGGAACACCACATAGCTATTTTCACTCCAGTAAAAAGAGAAGTTCCTGTAAAAAAGGAATGGGCACGCGGACTTTTTAAGAAAATGTTTATCCCCGACACGTACAAAAAAAAATGTCACCCATTTTTCTTTTTTATGTGTCTAAAACTCCCAAACGACAAGACTCAATTGGATAATTCTTTGATTTCTTCTGATTGTTAAAAGAAATATTTCAAAAATTCGCCTGTAAAGTTGAGCATGGGAAGCCGGGACGGGTCGCTAGCTTAAAACAAATATAGAAACAAATGAGTAACTGAATATCATTTCCATTGACCACCATTGATCATTGCTTCAATTATCGCCATATGAAGAGTCTCCGAGTTATCGATAAACACACGCCTACAATCGATAAACAATGTCATTATCGAGTATCGACCTCGATGTGTCGCGTCCTTATTTAATGTGAAACAGAAGTTTCAGATTATTGTCTCTGTTTTATATGCGCAACAGTTGAAGAATGGTCGTAAATAAAATTATTCTTGAATCGATTTTGGTATTTCCGAATTTCGAAATGCATTGTGAATACTGAAGTGGCAGTTTTGTTGATTTAGTTGATTTATAGCCAGCAATAAAATATAGTACACTAAAGGATTAGTAAAACAGATAATGTAATACACTGCCTCGTTGGCCGAGTGTCTCGCTCGGGTTCGATTTCCTGGTCGCGCAAAGTATTACTGGGTTTTCTAAGAAAACTCAGTACTCATTTAATTGTATAAACAAAAATTCATTCAAATTAGTTCAGCTGTTTAGAATAAATAATCTAAACAGCGACTGCAGCGCCATCTGCAGGGCTGATTGGTAAATCTAAACCATTCCCAGATCCCCTTGAACACACATAATAAATTTCATCAAAATCGGTCCAGTCGTTTGAGAGAAGTTCAGTGACATACACACTCACAGAAGAATTATATAGGTATATAAAGATAAATAACCCACTGACATTTTGGTGCTTCCATCAGTTCTACTAAGTGACATTATGTCCGCCATTTTTTTTTTGTAACAAAAGTAGACTACCTAAAATAAAACACTACATCAAAGTTAACCTTCTTAAAGACCTTATCTAGATCTAAGTCCCTGACTAGTGACCTCATGACGTCATACCGAGTACCTGTTGAGTATTGAGTGACATAACTTTAAATATAGCACTCATATTATTATGAGACTCTGAATTGTTACAACTTGAGTTGATTTATTCATACTTATGTGTAATTCATAAGTGATTTGATTTTGTAACAAATCGTAAAATATATAGATACTAGCTTTTACCCGCGGCTTCGCCCGCGTCACAAAAGGATAAAAAGTAGCCTATGTGACATATACCAATACATGCAGCGCCATCTATACCAATACTTTTGTTTTTACTCGGGAATATCACATTTTTCCGGGATAATAAGTACCTTATTATTTAATCCGGACTTCTAACTTTACGTCTGCAAAAATTCAAAGCAGTCGGTTTAGTAGTTACGGCGTGAAAGCGGAACAAACAAACAAACTCACTTTCCGAATAATAATATTAGTAAGGATTTTACGATTTGTTTTTATGGCATAAGCCGGTAAACGAGGAGACGGATGATTGTTCTTGCTTTTGATAATTGAAATTATTTATTCATTAAAGACTGTCTCGTTGGCCGAGTGGTCGCTAGTGCGACTGCCGGTTTTCGGGTCAATTCCCGGGTTGTGTAATGTATTACAAAAAATTTCAGTAGTAGCACGGAGTCTGGAATTGCGCCCGGTATAGGACAATAGGCAAACCCTCTATTACACGGGATTCATAACATAAATAGTGTAAAGTGGGTGCTACATTGTACAGTAGCATAATGTGCACCTTTGCCTATAAAAGGCGTGATGTTATGTTATGTTATTTGAACTTAACGAACCGTCTAACCTATATATATATTTCTTCAACAGTGAATGCACGGAGGTCCCTGAAGGTGGAAGCGAGTGGAAGTGTGACCAGGATCCTTGTATGATGAGCGACGAGGTGCTGAGGAACGTGAGAGAAGCTGGCCTATCCTGGAGAGCTGCCAACTACAGCCAGTTCCAGGGCAAGAAACTTAAAGATGGACTTATTTATAAGCTTGGTAAGTTGTTAAGCTTATTTTAACTGTCGCGGAGAACCTAACGGGTAACCGGGGCTCCGGCTCGACGTGCAGGAGAAGGAACGGGGTGGTTTTTAGTCAGTAAGAGTCTGACACTCCCCCCGCCTCACCCAGGCGGGAGCAGTCATTCGATGATTTCCCCCCCTTAAAAAAAAAGATTATTTTAACTGTTACCTGGACCAGGGCCTTTAGCCAAACACCACTTTAGCGCTTGTCTACAAAGAGAGTAGAAATCAAAATGTATGGGGAAGACACTGACAAGTATCAAAATTTACGTCAAATCCATATAATTTAGTTTTCTACTCTACAAGTAGACAAGCGCTAAATGGCATTTGGCTACAGCTTCAGGGTAGAAATCCGACCAACCATCGACGTACGGATAGTAGAATTTCTTTTTTTGAGGGGTTAAAATCATCACCAAGGTTCATAGTTTTACTTGTTAGTATGTATGATGTACACACGGCTACACATTGAGCTTTACATAACCAGTATAAACTGAACGTTAAATGTGCGGAAAGATGATGCGACGCGACACCAGGGTAAACTGGTTTTGTATAGATTGAAGTGTGGCCGTGTGTACCAATGTATGTTTGTGCACAATTCTGAACCGATTTTGATGCGGATTTCTTAAAAGTATTTGTTGCATTTTTTTAAGGAGGGAAAATCGTCGAATCACCCTCCTGGGTGAGGCGGGGGAGTGTCAGACTCTTACTGACTAAAAACCACCCCGTTCCTATCCCTGCCCTTTGAGCCGGAGCCCCGGTAACCCGTTAAGTCTTCCGCGGCTCCGTATTATCATCAGCCCTATTGGTCAACCAACTATATTAATCAACCGACCTCAAAAAAGAAAGGGCTGAAAGACCAATCAACTAATATTAATTACTAGACCAACATCCACCATATCCTTCATAAATTTTCCGCCGATCTAGCCATATGAGTTTAAACCTTATTCTTGTTAGAATAAACTTGAATAAAGCCCAGCAAAATCATAGAAGCTATGATTATGATTTGAGTATTTAGTACCGTCATTAATTTGTTTCAATGCACTTCATTGTTGCTAGGATACATTGTCACTTGATACATACAGTGTGTCATAAAATGGTACAAATTTTTTTTTCTTACATATCTCTTTCGCTTCATCAACAGTTATGTCTTTTCATGCATGCTCGTCGGTTAAGGGTACTTTTAATTTGACCTCTCTTTAATGTAAGTATCGCCAATCTGGCCAGTATATGTCCGTCAAGGCGCCCTCTACCGACGCCTCATTCATATCCGCTCGGCGCTCTGTATACTTCTTTCGTTACTCTACTTTCATCCATCCTTTCTACATGTCCAAACCAGCGTAACATTCCCTTTCCAATCCTTGTCACTACATCATCTTTCAAACCACACCTTTCTCGACTCCACACATACTTCTCAAGGCTCTCATTTCCACCGCATTAAGTATCAGATAAGGTTAATATCATGTTACAACAAATGAAAGATTCTACAACACCCTCTAACACATGTCTACAATAACTTTTAATGTTTGATACGATGTTGCTACCCGCGTTTACAAGCCACAATTGACGTTAATAGAACATTAACTAATATATTTTATTGTAGACTAGAGATCATACTGAAATAGAATACAAACACAATTGTCTCGACGGTAAAGTGGTCAGAAGTTATTGATTCTTTCATTCATAATTAATTCTCGGGTTTAATCCTTAGGACATGTAAAGCGTTTTGAAATGTAACAAGGGTTTAGTAATATGGTCATTTCTTTTTATCATACATACATAACTTAACGCGGTCTTCCATGAGGGTAGGCAGAGACTATGGAACGCCAATTACTACCTCTTTCGCTTCATCAACAGTCATCAATCTTTTCATGCATGCTCGTCGATTAAGGGAACTTTTTAATTTCTTTAATATATCGCCAATCTGGTCACACTATTCCTTTTTATCCTACTACACTAACCCCAAAAGAAGGGTACCTAGTGCGTCTAATGCCTTTTTGAGGAGGGGACATCATATTACGACTTCTCCCGCTATGGGTAAAGCGGGAAGGAATGTCAGATTCTTACTGACTAATAAAACCTACCAATTTCTACTACTGCTTCGAGCCGGAGCCCCGGTACCTAACCTGCAAGATTGCCCGCAACCCTGACTCCTGACCTACATGAGTTGGTTTTCTAGTTACTTTTCTGCCTAATCCTTAGGTCAGTTACAAACGTAATTTTGCAATAAACATTACTTTTAAATAAGATCTAGCTTAGAAAAACACAAAACAAATTCACGCAGATTTCATTTTAAAAACATCACAGACAAAAGGTTTAAAATCAAAACAAACTCTATGACAAAAGTAAAATGAAAGTGGGGCGATCTAGACAAGTATTAGCCTGAACTAAACAAAGGAGAAAGTAATGTCGCATGAACAAAGATCTCTGATCTGTAATGGTATCGCCCGAGGCTTATATTGTGCTAACTTCTTAGTATAGTTTCTTACAAGTTCAGATTAGAATATTGTGAGTACGACTATGGATGTGTGATGTTAGCCTGACTTACTGGGCCTCATCGTTCGCTTGATAAAATTGACGTGTAAAAGTACTGCATTGTAGCCTATTTTCAGATATAAATTCACTCGTTTCACTTATTTATTTACATAAATGAAGACTTATATGAAGAGTTCGATCGGGCTTGAAAAAAATGTTAAATTCTGTATTGGCTTACAATAATAATCATAGCAATCTAATTGACTCCTAAAGCTTAACCAGTAACAGTGAAGAAATATAGAACACTTACCTCCATCCTCAGGGATGTCGCGGAGAACCTAACGGGTTACTGGGGCTCCGGCTCGGCTCTTGCAGGAGAAGGAACGGGGTGGTTATTAGTCAGAAAGAGTCTGACACTCCCTCCCGCGCACTCAGGCGAGAGCAGTCATTCGATAATTTTCCCCCCTTAAAAAAATCCTAAGGGATAGATATATCTATGTAGCATTTGTTTTTTCTCTTTTTCGACCTATTAAAAATACCCATCTTCGTTGTCCGCGTTAGGTTAGGTTAGTAACTAAAGTATATTAATGAACTTAATCTTTTTCCCTACTCTTTTTACATAATTTTATCTTTTAAACTAAAAATCAATAATTAAAATTTTACATCTTTGCAGGAACCCTGCCGCTGAGCCGTGAGACCGCCCGCCTGGGACCTATCATCTACGACAAGGACATTCCCTACCCACCTCAGTTTGACGCCAGGCAGCACTGGAAGAACTACATCTCCCCCGTGGTAGACCAGGGCTGGTGTGGTTCCGACTGGGCCGTGTCGCTGGCTACTATTGCTTCTGATAGGTAAGTTATAATATTCAGGTTTAATATATACCTCTATATAGGTACGTCTAATAAGACTATAGAAGTGTATCAATGAAGATATTTTAAAAAATATTAGCGGGTCGTGTTACTACATCCATGAAGAACCCAAAACTGTGATCCGATTTATTTTCTGTCTGTACGTTTGTGCGCGCTTCACGTGAAAACTACTGATCCGATTCGAATGCGGTTTTCACAGATACGTACCTCTATATATTTGCCTTTCTTCAACTTATCATTCTTTTAAACTGTGATTGGATACTCGCCTATTGAGTGAAGAACACTCATAAATATAGTCTCTAGTTAAGCAGTGGCCTGTTTGCCTGTGGCCGTGATTGAGTAACAAACATACAAACACACAAACAGACAAATTTTTGGTCTCCTAACATAACAATAACGACATCACGCCTTTTATCCCCGAAGGAGTAGGCAGAGGTGCACATTATGCCACTGTCCTACAATGTAACACCCACTTTTCACTATTAATGTTTTGAGTCCCATGTAATAGAGGGTGAGCCTATTGCCATATACCGGGCACAATTCCAGACCCCGTGAGAATTTTTTAAAACCCAATAATACTTTGCCCGACCCGGGAATCGAACCCGAGACCCCTTGGCCGGCAGTCGCACTTGCGACTCGGCCATCTTGCTTAAAAACTATTCCCGAATACGATTACCCAGTGAATGTGTTTATTTATTCCAATAAAGGTTTTTTTTTTTTCATTTTCATGTAAGAATGAATGCACACAGATTCTTTTCATCCTGTTCCTAAGTCCTAACAAACCACTAAAGGAATGCTTGGCGGTAACTTAAGAATACACTATTCGCATAAGTCATGTCGTTGTGAAGCTGAGACGGCTAAAAATAAAACAAGGGCCTTCCACTTGAGGGAAGCCAAGCCAGGTAGAACAAAAAGGTAGTACTACTTGGAAATATGAGCGTGTGTGTTTTATTTTGCACCTCCATTGTGGCTATTTTTGGAGTCAGATACTTAGTTACATAGGAGTGTATTGTTCAAGTTGTTTTTTTTTTAGTGTTGAGAAGTCTATAGTGACGTTACAAAGTTTAAGTAAAACAGAGTGTCAAGTACGAATAACTGTCGTGGAGAACCTAACGGGTAACCGGGGCTCCGGCTCGACGTGCAGGAGAAGGAACGGGGTGGTTTTTAGTCAGTAAGAGTCTGACGCTCCCTCCCGCCTCACCCAGGCGGGAGCAGTCATTCGATGATTTTCCCCGCTTAAAAAAAAGTACGAATAACTATCGCATTCGTATCGTAATAGTATCCAGCGCGTTCGGCGCTCTGATTGGCCGGCTCAAGTGAACCAACCAATCAGAACGCTTAACTCGCTCCAGGGCCGGATTTAGGGGGGGGCAACCGGGGCGAAAGCCCCGGGGCCTCCACAAACAGGGGGCCTCCACAATAGACTTCGGAAAAAAAATCTTTCAAATTTCAACTAGTAAACATCTTTTCTTTGATACTTTTTTTTTCGCTTTTACCTTTACCTACAGCCTAAAGTACTTTATACATACATGATTATTTGATTATATTAATTTTAAATATTAACAGAAACAGAAATCATTGATCTATATTTGTTCACTCCAATCAGGCAATCAGTGAAATATCAAAATCTCAAATGGGTCTGATAAGCACTTCCAATTTACTACCCATCTTGAGGGAGTACCCCAATGGCTTAATGGCTCAGTGGGATGGTACTTGCCCGCAACCTCAGAGGTTGGCTATTCGATTCCGTTCTCAACCATTAAAAAAATTAATTGCAGTATGTGAACAATTGGTATTCTTCAATTCTTAAACTCGAAATCTGTCGAGCGTCCTCGAAATCTATCGAGCATCCTCGATCGTTTTCAAGCGTCCTCGATTGTTTTCGAGCGTCCTCGAAATCTATAGGGCGTCCTCGAAATCTATCGAGCGTCCTCGAAATCTATCGAGCGTCCTCGAAATCAATCGAGCGTCCTCGATTGTTTTCGAGCGTCCTCCATTGTTTTCGAGCGTTCTCGAAATCTATCGAGAGTCCTCGATCGTTTTCGAGCGTCCTCGAAATCTATCGGGCGTCCTCGAAATCTATCAAGCGTCCTCGAAATCTATCGAGCGTCCTCGAAATCAATCGAGCGTCCTCGATTGTTTTCGAGCGTCCTCCATTGTTTTCGAGCGTTCTCGAAATCTATCGGGAGTCCTTGATCGTTTTCGAGCGTCCTCGATTGTTTTCGAGCGTCCTCGAAATCTATCGAGAGTCCTCGAAATCAATCGAGCGTCCTCGATCGTTTTCGAGCGTCCTGGAAATTAAGCGAGCGTCCTCGATCTCAATCTGGAAAATAATTTAGGGCAAGGGGGCCTCCACTCCTTTGTTGCCCCGAGGCCTCTGGACCCCTAAATCCGGCCCTGACTCGCTCGATACTGTTACGATACGAATGCGATAGTTACTCGTGCTTGGCACTCAGATGCTGATACCACTGGTAGGTAGATGATGATTTTTTCGAAGATTCACATTCTTAGTTTATTCTAGTGTTACTGATTAGTGTCGTCATTATTTTGGAAACTTAAAATGGCATTGTTACTTGTTTCTCAAATAAAAACCCTGAAAAATGTATTTTTTTCTGAAATCTTACTAGATTACGAGTGATCGCAAGTCCGACTACCGGACAAGGGGTCTCAGGTTCGATTCCCGGGTCGGGCAAAGTAATCCTAGGTCAATTTTACATGAGATTCATAACATAAATAGTGAAAAGTGGGTGTTACATTGTACAGTGGTAATAAGTGCTGTAATGCCTTCAGGGATAAAAGGCGTGATGGTATCTATGTTATATAGTATTTTTTCAAGTCTTACCTCAATTAAATACCATTTGTTGCGATAGATAGGTAGTACTATATGTACATATATTACGTAAATACGTAGCATATACAAGGTGTAGTTTTGAAGTCGTGTCATTTCTCGGGGGCATGTCACAGAAGTCATATAGGTTCAATGTAAGAGAAAATTTTGGGTCAATAGTTAAAAATACGGCTATAATAAATCATTTAAGTTGGACAATATTTCAGAAAAACCGACAGCAATTCTTCTTATTCGAGTTTTATGGAATTAGGAATAATATCAATTACATGTTCGAGTTTGTGTGTGTTAAGCCGCGTTATAAAGCTAGTTACAAGACGGCGGCGTGTAGTTCGCAATTACGGATTTCCGTAAATTACAGAAAAATGAAAAATATTTACCTAAAATTTTTTTTATTGATTCGGACTCAGCATCGATAGCCGAGTTACCTCCTAGAAAATGACGCGGCTTTAAAACAACACCTTGTATAAGTAACTACGTAAGGTAGACTCGTGCTTTCGTGCTTTGCACTTTCGGTCGGTCAGGAAACAAGTCACGACATCGTGACGAATGACGACTTTAAAATGGATTTCTGATTTACTGCTAAATGAATATCTCACTGCTTGTCATCCGTTATTATCGGACGCCCGGACGGTGATGTATTAGCGAGTTTATTAGATTCTTTATACTTAAATTGGTTTTTGATTAGAAGCTGTTATGAAATGAAAGAAGCCTTATTTGTAGAGTAGGTAGGTATTTCTTTCTTCTGTATTTATATTATGGCGATGACGTGAATGGATCCTCCATTGGTGTAGCTATTGGAGAACTAACTGGTGGTGTTCTTGCAATAGGGCCGTTGATTATCTCAATTTGTCAGTGATAAGAATAGTTATCTGTTTAAAAATACTCTTCTGCCTACGGGAACTACATAAATGATTCAAATAAGTTATCACTAGTCACTACTACTAGTAGGGTATCCCCTAGAAAGAAAGAAAAAAAATATATGACAGACGCACACAGAAACGAAAAAAGAATAATACAAAATTAAAAAAGAAAAGAAAAAATAAATACAGATGCTCATATAGGTAATACAAAAACAATAATTATAAACTAAAAAGACTAATGACATAAACAAAGAAACAACAGAGTATAACAAAATAGTGAAAATACAATAATAACACAGAAATTAAATAGGTATTAATAAGACAAGATATTAATTACAGTCAATAGCGCGTGATCTTACAAAAAAAGGCTCCATCTCAACATTAAGTTGAGCCTACATGCCCAACGCTGGTTTCCAGATGGCACCCTAAACTGTATTCTATTTGCCTACAGATTTGCGATCCAGTCGAACGGAGCTGAGAAGGTGATCCTGAGTCCTCAAACTCTACTGTCGTGCAACAGCAAGCAGCAGCAGGAATGCCGTGGTGGCAATATTGATACCGCCTGGATCTTCGCCAAGAACCATGGGTAAAAAATATAAACCCCATTTTATATTTTTTGGTTAAGTAATGAGAAAAGGGAAAAAAGGGAAGACGATGTTGCCAAAAAGTGGAATGCCGTCCAGAAGCGGTGTGTCCTTTAAAATACAGAAGGATGTTATTTGTTCACTTGTAAATCTTATAGAACCTACTCTTTCTGATGTTAGAACATTGATTAGACTTCAACTTCAAACTGTTCTGAACTTTTAGGCCTAGCAAGACTTACTTATCAATTTTGATGTTTATTTCATCGCAGATCATAGCTGTATCTATGACCTTCCTATCATATTTAGCACCAGAAACTAATAATCTGTTTTTGATGTATTTATAATTTTTATTTTGTCTTAGCTGTTACCTATTAAGTCAGTATTCGTGTGAATCTGTAAGTGGCTCAATGTTACTATTCTTCTGCTAAATGTATGTAATGTGGCTGTTGATTCACCATTCAATAAATAAATAAATAAATAATCATTGTTTCGTATCCCCTCCAGCCTAGTTGACGAAGAGTGCTTCCCCTACAAGGCCAAGTTCACTCGCTGCCCCTTCAAGAAGCGTGGTAACCTCCTCACTGATCGTTGCGTCCCCGTGGTCCCTCAGCGCACCTCCAGATACAAGGTCGGACCTCCCGGCAGGCTGGTGAAGGAACACGACATCATGTTCGATATCATGCAGTCGGGACCTGTGCAAGGTTGGTGTTTTTTTGATACTTTGGTTTTGGTTCTTTGAAAGTGTCCTATTAGGCTAGTTGAGATGAAGCAAGCCCTATTTTACTTAATATAATTAATATGCTCATGGCGTGATTACGTCGTATCCCTTTAGAGTGTCGCGGAGAACCTAACGGGTTACCGGGGCTCCGGCTCGAAGTGCAGGAGAAGGTATGGGGTGGTTTTTAGTCAGTCAGAGTCTGACACTCCCTCCCGTCTCACCCAGGCGGGAGAAGGCATTGATGATTTTCCCCCTTAAAAAATCCCTTTAGAAAAAAAGTGGGGTCTTACATTTAAATAAAGGCATACGTGCATCAGTTTTATTTAAAAAATAAGTCGTAATATCTTGCAATTTTGATTATTATTGCTAATTGAAAGGGGTTTTCCAAACTCTCTTAGCTCAGCTATTAATTAAGCAGATGACACAAATATATGAGTAGAAACTCTAAATATGAATATCGTTGGTATTGGTTATTTCGTTGGTAAAACTCTGCTGCCTCGTTGGCCGAGTGGTCGCAAGTGCAACCGGGTAAGGGGTCTCGAGTTCGATTCCCGAGTCGGGCAAAGTACTACTGGGTTTTAAAAAAATTCTCAGTTGTAACACGGAGTCCGGAATTGTGCCCGGTATATGGCAATAAGCTCACTTCCTATTACATGGGACTCATAACATAAATAGAGAAAAGTGGGTGTTACATTTTACAGTGGCATTAAGTGCCGTAATGTGCACCTTTGTCTACGCCTTCGGGGATAAAAGGCGTGATGTTATGTTATGTTATTTCGTTGGTAAAAGTCTCGGCACAGCATAGTGTGCAATCGGTTCGATATCTAACACGGCTCGGTACTGTCTCTGTTGTCTGCACTGAATCAATCTTTATCTTCTTACCAATAGGCATAAAATCCAAATAACCCCGCTGACTAACAAGTATTATTATGATAAGTGTGCAAAAATAAAGCCATTCATTTAAGTAACCCAACCTATGTAGATTAAAAAGAGATAACCTTAAAAAAATTCGAACGCTCCATACGAAATCGGTTATTTTTATCTAACCTTGGTTACTATCTATACGTACAAATATAACACACGGGTCCTTGTATGATGGAGATAAGAAAATCACGACAATACACTGCTTTCAAGAGATTACGTACTATAACAGTAGCTTTATTGTAAGTAGGTATTATCAAGTTGAATTAATTTGGTACAGTACCCGGCACATTGGTCTGTGGAAAGAGACAATCCGGCAAGCCCCGTATACCGCATTATACGGTACAGAAAAGCTTAGCAAGGTTATTCTTCTTTATTCTATTTTTGACTACAAACCCCAAATCGCCCACCCAATCTGAATCGTCGAATCAGGCACCAACACGTAATTCTATGAACATTTTCGTCATTAATTTCTCCCTAATAAAAAATAACACCATTATGTTAAACAAGATGTTCCCTATGCATGTAATGTGAAACTCCCCAATTCAACATAACCAGATAAGATACGACCAACGGTTACCAAATTCACTGAATATAAAGTATAAACCGTTTAACATTTTTATTTCCTCGTAAACATTCGTTAAGTACATAAAAAACACTCTTATTGACATTTATTCCATCTTTCCTGGTACACACACTTAAAGCTGCACAAATCCAATTTATCGTGGACGCGCTTTTTATGATCTATCTGCACATTCGACGATCAATTTATACTACATCAATTTATACCACTTGGTGGCCCAGTCTGGGGCTCTGGGCCACCAAGATACAGGCTGTGCCTAGTTTGGGGCCCATGGGAACCTCAGCCGTGTTTACGTTTATGTGAATGCTGTTCGCTTCTATGCCTACATGTAATCTAACTCGTGTATGCCAAAAAATAAATTTTATTTAATTTATTTCACTAGTTTTGCATAGCTTGATTATATATCGTTCTGTGTGAGAATTTTCCTGTGGATCAGATGATCAGCTATCTACATTTTGGCATTTCGATGAAATTCCAAGTGTTTATTTAGTAAATCGCTATCAGAATGTCTTTTTTGTATATTGACGGTTGATAAGATAATTTCGGCATCCCAGGAATCTGAATAATATGTTGTTTTCAAAACAACTGCGTAGTCAAAGTGCCTAGGAAGTACCTTTCATCCTAGATTTCCAATTTTTATTCCTGTAAAGCAAGGAATATGTGCATGGTATATGCATACCTAAGAACACCCACTTTAGCCAATATGCCGAAAGTATAGGTACCTACCTATGGTCACAGTACACTCTAGTGTTACGGTTACACTGTGGGCTGGGTCGCTCCGTTCCCTGTGAAATGGTTGATCGGACCGATTGCTGGCCTACACGTCATACCCGTTCACGGGTAAGACAGCCTGGCTGGTGGGCTGATTTACTGGATCAGCCAGGTTAGTGTAGGATAATAAGATTATAATAATTATATAGGTAACATCATCAAATAAGTATTTTGTGTAGTTAGTGGTCAACGTAGCATGTAACATCTTTGTAACAATTATTTGACCATGAAAACAATGTAACTATAATATGACAAGGGCTTGTATTTCTTAAATACAAGTTAATTAGCCTTTTTTCCTGGGAAGATTAAAAAAAATCCGCTAGGGGCAGCACCGGTGGGGGGTACATATGTTTTGAATTCTCTATTGGCAACAACGTCAAACGTGTAGAATTAAAATGGAATTAACTGAAGATGATGTACCTGGAGCGAAATTAAAATTTGCAAAAGTGCAAGATCATCTTGTCCGGGACTTGAAACGATGGCTTGCATGTCGTGGCTTAACCGTATCAGGTAATAAAATAATTTCGTACAATTTGCGAATGCGCAATGTTTTGTAGGCATGACTATTTTTAAAAAAAAAATTTTTATCACAATATTTATTTATTCTGATAATAATAAGACGTACGTTTGACGTTGTTGTCAATAGAGAATTCAAAACATATGTACCCCTCCCACCGGTGCTGCCCCTAGCGGATTTTTTTTTAATCTTCCCAGGAAAAAGGCTAATTAACAATACAATTTATTTATTTTTTTTAAATAGGTATACTGGCTCCATCTTGTGTCCAATTGTAAACTATAATTAAAAAATGATAATATTTCCGTGAAACCTGGAATCAAACCTTGCTTAGAAGCTAGGTTTTCTATACACATTGTAGATAAGGTATTAGACTGGTATTAGGCTCTAGAGGTGTTAGTTACCCATTAACTTATCTAGTTAAATCTAGTACTTACCTATGATAAACAAAAATCTCGACTTAATGATATTTATATTAAAGTTCAATGTTCCTTGTTCCAGCTGTCATGACAGTCTACCAAGACTTCTTCCACTACCAGGATGGCGTGTACCGCCGCTCTCACTTCGGTAACAATGAGCTGAAGGGACTCCATAGCGTCAGAATCGTCGGCTGGGGCGAGGACAACCAAGACAAATACTGGGTATGTAAATATATACTTTAAGTACTTTAGAATAAGTGTTGTTATTGTTTGGTATTATGAATGAGTAACTATTCTATTTGAATTAACTCTCTTATGTAACTATTTATAAATAGATTAAAGAAGCATTAGGTAATAGGTATTATAGTCTACAAAGTCGACATAAAGTAATTATTAGGGGAAGTACCCTTTTATGGTAGACAGATAGATACTTCTTCAATGCTGTTATCAAATGCAAATTGTAATCTATAACAGAATTAAGTATGGCAATAAAACAAGGGATTTTCCCTAATCGTACACTTTATAAATAGTCAATTAAATGTACCTTACCGCTAGATACAGACGCTAGTGTTGCCTGTTCTTAAAAAGCAATTAAAAATGGTAGTTTAAAGTTTCTCTTAAATTAACTCTTTTTCTTTATCCTAAGTTACTTAGACTATTGTAATCAACACCTACTTAAATACCAAATTGTAGATAAGGACCAAACCAATAGTATTTGGGATCAACACAGAAGCGAATACTGGAATGTTTTCTTATATTCTTTTACGCATCACAAGTCTCATTTTCTTTCACAACATTAGATAAAAACTCCTACTAAATTCCAATTTCTTTTCACAGATTGTCGCCAACAGTTGGGGCACAGCTTGGGGTGAAGACGGTTACTTCCGCATCGCGAGAGGTGAAAACGAATCAGGAATCGAGTCGTTCGTCGTGACCGTTCTGAGTGACGTCACGGAGGCTTACCTGCGTAAATAACATCCGACCCATCTGGTAACTCCTATATGTGTAACCACTAGAATAGTGAACACTAAATGGGGTATCTTATTACTGAACAGTACTAAGAAATTTGGTCAGCGAAGATAATTTTTTCTACCATTTTTGGTAGTATTTCTGATTAAATTTTGTGTAGATTTCGAAATATCTAGTAGGTTTTTAAATTAACAGTGTTTAAATGCAGTATTTTTCAGTGTAGAATAAGGTAGGGTTGACATTATTTTCGCTAATCAAAATCTTGTACTAGAATTATGTAAGACCGCGATTAAATTATTTAGTGTACGATCTCCGACCGATTAGGTATTAAGAGATTAATATTATATTTTTTATATAATTAATCTTAAATATTACAACTATAGGCGTTGTCACTATTGTATTAACACATATCGATTGTAAAAACGTAAGAAAAAAGTATGAAGGAATTGGTAGCAAAATGATATTTTGCTTTGGCAACATTGAAGTGTCAAAATCCCCGTGGGGTTAGTGTTGTCACGTAATTGACCTGCACTTATTAATACCAGCACAAAAAATAAAACTAAAAAAATCCAAAAAAATATTGCTTTTATTTTCATATTATTATATTCATATTTATTGTACAGTACTACATTTTTTGTGAATCTTTACTGCCATTTTAAAGTGGTTTATTTAAGTTACTTAAAGAAATCTAACTAGTCTTAGGCACATTTAAACTTTAGAATAAGTTGAACATCTCAATATATGCTTATAGACAATAACTGTTAGAGTAGTCATAACGATTATTTTAAATAGTAGTTTTATATTTACGTTATTTTTAATTTTAGAGCGTGGATATGGGAGGAATATAACTGAGTTGTCATAGTAAAAAGTAATTATTGAAATATTATACATTTTTTAACATCTTATTGGGGCTTATAAAAAATCATCTGCTGATATCAATGAATTATTCAAATAATATTTTTTAAGGAAAGACACCATTTAAAATTATTTTCTTTTATATCCACGCTTTAGGAATGTTACTTATAAGGAACAATAGAAAATTACATAGTAAGAACTTTTTATAGTTTTACAGTGCACCAAAATGTCTACTATATAGCCAGAATATAAAGCTGCTAAGGGCTAGATAGACCACGTTGTTCCACAAATTGTGACTTTGTATCAACCAATTAAATGCTCTTTTTCTTTGACTATGCCAAAGCTCGTAAATAGTCTACTATATTTAATGTATGAAGTTTTTTAAAGATAGAAAGAGACAGGTATGTGAAACAAGATGGTCTGTTTAGTTTATATGCTACCATTCAAGTTAACAATAAAATAAATATTTAAACTTTTTTGTATTATAACCTACAACATTATTAATAAATATTTCTATGGAAAATGGGCCAAGCGTAAGCAACGCCATCTACATTTTGTTCTTTATACTACTACCAGTTGCCGAGTGGCTCTAGCCTTATCAAGTAAATATAATTGTTATCAATATATTAAGTAAAATATAATATTTATTATTAATTAGTACTTACGATTTATGTAATTTAAGTTTAAAATAAATAAAGATTCAAAATTACTTTCGTTTCATTTTTTTCAGCGAATATTGTAATGAATTAAATATCTTTTGCTGTCTTATAATCATTCTAAACAAATTTCACTTATCTCAGTCAGAGCATAAACTTAAATAAGGGCCGATTTTAACTGTAGAACAATATTGATATGACAGTTTTTAGTATGGAAGAGTTGTTAAACATTCAAACTTATCCCTTAGTTAAAATTCTGGTATTGGAAAAATCGACCCTAAGAATGTAATACAACTAAATAACATAATGTAGTTAATAGACCAAAAAAGTTAATCAATTTGACAATTTATACCTAGGTATTTAGGCTAATATTGATGTGACAAGTAGTTAAGGTAGACCAACCACGAAGGTCCTTTTCAAAATAGTACTTTTCTGTGCTTTTAATATTCTACTGCATATCGTTTGCAACCGGCCTATCTGAGGCCTTAGTATGAGTTTAATTTACGTTTAAAGTAAACGTAACGAGTACGCGTTCGGCGCTGTGATTGGTTGCTTCATTGGCGCCGGCCAATCAGAGTGCCGAACGCGCTCTCGTTACGAATACTTTAAACGTAAATTAAACTCGTACTAAGGCCTCTGAGGCCTTAGTACGAGTTTGTTTTTTTGTTTAAAGTAATCGAAAGGACCGTACTCCTTTCATTCGGTTGACTCACTGGAGCTGGCCAATCAGAGCGCCGAACGCGTCGAACAGTGGACGTCTTGTGGGGTTGTAGCTGATATACTGATGATGATGATTATGAATTCTCTACTCAGCAGCTGTAGCCAAATGCCATTTAGCGCTTGTCTACTTGTAGAATAGAAAACCAAATTATATGGAATTGACGTAAATTTTGATACTTGTCAGTATCATCCCCATACATTTTGATTTCTACTCTCTCTGTAGACAAGCGCTAAAGTGGCGTTTGGCTAAAGGCCCAGATCTAACAGTAAATAGACTGGAAAAGAGAATGTGTGTGTGTGAGCGTGTGCGTGTTTGTGTATGTGTGTGTTTGTGTATGTGTGTGTTTGTGTGTGTGTTTGTGTGTGTGTGTGTGTGTGTGTGTGTGTTTGTTGTGTGTGTGTGTGTGTGTGTGTAACCGTACGAGGCGAAAATGATTTTTATAAATACAAATATTATTTATTGTCTTTTTGTTAGTGTAGGTATGTTATCATAGTTCTACTGGTCAAACCTTATGGTTGGTATACAAACATTTCACATCAATTTTAGCCTTAATACAGACAGTACAATCTGTACAATTAATATTAAAACTATAGATACAAATAAAATAAATTCAACAACTATATATAAATAATCATTTAACAGTTTGAAAGATGACTAAATACTAGTTCCAACATTGACACCAACAAAAACTTAAAACAACATTAAACATTAAAAGATCTTAAATATTTCTAAGTATGAATGGATAAACTATGAAATGGCTGACTCGTTCGCCGAGTGGTCGCAAGTGTGACTGCCGGGCGAGGGGTCTCGGGTCCCCGGGTTGGGCAAAGTAATACTAGGGTTTTTACAAAAAATCTTCATAGCAGCACGGAGTCTGGAAATATTTCCAGACTACAGAACAGAATGAGTAGTGGCACGGAGTCTGGAATTGTGCCCGTTTAGGGCAATTGCCTCGCCCCTATTACATGGGACTCATAATATAAATAGTAAAAAGTGGGTGTTACATTGTACAGTGGCATTAAGTGCCGTAATGTGCACCTCTGCCTACTTTCGGGGATGAAAGACGTGATGTTATGTTATGAAAAAACTATCAACTAATAAAACAATTCTACAATCATAATCTTAGATTCTCTATTGACATAAGTTTGAAGTCAGACTCACCATAACACATGTCAAATAATTAGATTCATTCAGCTCTCTTCGATCACCATTTATAGAGGCACTAACTACTTGAAGCAGATGGTTTGTTAGCGGCTGCCTTTACTTTAGCTGCTTTCTCTACATTTGCTGCTCTATTCTGGAAAATATAACATCTTTTATTAATCTATATATTCTATATATAGAGGTAATATAATAATACTTATATAAAAGAAAGTCGTGTTAGTTACACCACTTATAACTCATGAATGGCAGAATAGATTTGGCTGAAAATTGATAGGGAGGTAGTTCAGAGCCAGGAGACCGACGTAGGACTTTTTAACCAAATATTTTTTCTTTTTACCGAAAATCACGAACGGGGACGTGAAAAATGGGATTACGCGTACGAAGTCGCGGGCAGAAGGTAGTATTAAATGAAAAAAGTTCATCAATCTTAATAAATGTGTGGTTTGTGACAGCCAACGGATAAAATTATGTAAATACTAGCTTCTGCCCGCGACTTCGTACGCTCAGTCCCGTTTTCTCTCGTTCCCGTAGGATTTTCAAGATTTTTTCTGTCGTATGAACCTTCTGACAATAACAAACACAAAAAAAGATCAGCCAAATCAGTCTAGCCGTTCTCAAGTTATAGCATGACAACGGGAAACAGGTTTCATTTTTATATATATAGACGTCCGTAGTCGAGTCCGCTAGACTCGACTACGGATATCCACTTGAATGTATAAACAAAAATTCATTCAAATTAGTTCAGCTGTTTAGGATAAATAACCTAAACGACTGCAGCGCCATCTGCCGGGCTGATTTGTGAATCTAAACCATTCCCAGATCCCCTTGAACACACACAAAAAATTTCATCAAAATCGGTCCAGTCGATTGAGAGAAGTTCAGTGACATACACACTCACAGAAGAATTATATATATAAAGATTATGATAAAAACATAAACAATGCATCACGCGATGGCGAGCGGAGGCGGGATGACTCGCGTTGTCGCGCACGGGGGTGGGGGGATGGTACTCCTGATTCCCCCGCACAATGGCGCCAACTTAATAATTATCTAAGGCGGCGTGTTACAACATGTTTTTTTAAAGAGAGAAACTCCACTTTAAAACAAGCATCTAGCTTCACTGATAGATTGAAGGGCAATCAATTTTAACGTTTCAAAAGTGCTTGATTACAGATTAATTATAATTAATGCTGTGACTTTGACATCCCCAGAAAGAAGAAAGGGCAAGGAGTAGAGTATGTATGTGGACGAAAACAAGCTGTTGATGATGATGATGATGATGATGATAAAGGATAGGGAGTTAGCCATCTTATCTTATACTATTATGTAAAGCGGAAGAGTTTGTTTGTTTGTTTGAACGCGCTAATCTCCGAAACTACGGGTCCGATTTGAAAAATTCTTTCTGTGTTGGATAGCCCATTTATCGAGGAAGGCTATAGGCTATAAAACATCACGCTACGATTAATAGGCGCCGAGCAGAGCGTGAAACCGCGCGGAAGTAGCTAGTTTGTCATATAATCTTACTAAGATTATAAACTAGTGACTGCAACAACACTAACTTGCGGTGCAATATGCATGTATTATATAATATGTTGCGGCTAATACCCGAA